GAGTTAATGTTCATGATCTTTCGTTAGAACACCATTTTACTCCCATTTTAAATCACATTCACTTCCATGAGTCAGGTTCTTAAAAAAAAAATAAGACTTTCAGTCGAAACTTTATCAACCAGCTGATTATTTGTGATGATGGGCTGTTCAGCAAAACAAGAAACGGTGAAATATGATTTAATGGTGAGTCTAATATAGCCTCTACCTGTCATGTACTGAAGTTTCCATGCTACCTTTATCGTGCTCCAGTTGTCGCCATTTTACTTTTACTTTTTTCAACAAGTCAAGAAGCAACGATAAACTAGAGGATTTGCATGTCCTGTGAAAATGCAAGCCTGAATGCTTCTTGCTTAAGAATGTCAAGAAAACAGTTTAAAAGTAGCTTAAAACAGCAGAAAGAAGCTTCATATATCAGAAGGAAGCAGAACGTGCACAATTGTTCCTAATGTAATTGACTGCCAGGCTGCTGCCGATATAAACTGTTGATCTGACAGTATTTTGTTTGGGTTCACTCTCGGCTACCACTATACCAAATTTCAGCTGACAAGCTCTAAAAATGCCTGAGTTATTGTACATTTTCCTTTTTTGCTAAGACGGCCATCTTGGATTTTTGATTTTCAGTCAGAGACTATTAGGAATTGTTGCCAGCTACCAATACGCCAAATTTCAGCTGAATAGCTCTAAAAATGGCAATTATCCTAGTTTTTCTATAAACCAGCTGAATAGTAGCTAAAGAAATCTAGAAAGAAGCTTAAATTTCCAAAAGGAAGTGGAGGGAGCTTAATTGTGCCCACTAATGTTGAAAGAAGCAGAAATTAACACAAAGGTTAAATTTTCTGAGAAAAGCTGGAATTTGCCAAAACAGCTGAATAGTAGCTAAAGCAAACAGAAAGAAACTTAACTTACCTTAAGGAAATGGGTAGAGCATAGATATGCTGAATTAATTTGAAAGAAGTTTAAAAGGTTTTTAAAAAATGTGGAATTAGCTGAAAAAATGTGAAATTGGCGTAAAAACAGCTATATAATAGCTGAATTTGCAGAATCGCTAAATTTAGCAAAAATAAGCTGAAAGGAGCATAACAAACTGGTATTAGCATAAATAATTTACCAGAAGCACAAAAATGTTGGACTTAAAGCTGAAAGGAGCACAAAACGGTTTAAAAAAAAAAAAACAGCTGAAGTTAGCTGAAGTAGTAGATTTATTTATTTATTTATTGTTGCACAAGGAAGCTGAAACCAGATCTAAATGTGAAAGTAGCAGTAAAAGGTTGTAAACCGATCAAAAGTTATGAAAGATGTAAAAAGGGCTAAATTCATTTTCAATGGGGAAGAAAACGGCAGAAAAGGCTAAAATATCTCAAAAAGCTAAAGTTGCACCAATATCAGAAGTCATAGTAGTCATGTCGTGAAACAGCTGAACGTCTTGATATATGAGTTGTTGAAATGGCAGAAAAACTTGTGGGAGTAGTTGGATGCTGAAAAACGTACAGAAGAAAAGGTGGATCTCAATAGGCATTGAAGTGCTAGAAAATGTCTCAACACGTTCACAGAACATACAGTTAATCTATAAAGATTTTTCTCAACCACTTTATTTTCTAGCCTTTATTTATACCAACATCAAATGCACTTACTTGAATAAAAAGGGACTAATAAAATGAACATTTTGCCTCAGAGCTTGGCGAGCATGGCAGCAGTCAGCTCGTCTCTCCTGCCACGACTCTCATGTAATCCTCCTGATGTGACCGTGTTTACATTTATCAGCCTCGCGCAGCATTTTGAATCTGCACGATATGTTCACGTCTCTTCCACAGGCTGAGACGCTCACGTGCACATGTGCACTCTCTCTCTCTCCCTCTGCTTCCTTTTTATTTTTCCTCCCACAGTTGCCAAGCAACCAGGATTGCTTTTCATCTTCACTTTTTTGAGTCTTTACTCAGTTTTCTGGCTATGTTCTTTGTGTTACTGTTAATTTCTTTAGTTATTTTCTTCACACCCATAGTGATTTAATTTGTTGTGTGTAAAATGGTGTGTTTTTTAAAGGTAGGATAACATTAAAATGGCATTAGTTTTCCCTCTTGTTTTGTTTTGTTATATGAATATTATCATATTTTTTTCAGGATCATTCCATGTGAACTGCAAGAACATTTTGTAATGCGTCACAAATAAATATAGATTTTTATGGTCTTGTCTTTATTTGTACAAAGAATAAAATAAGATTTTTTTCACAATATTGTTTTATATTAAATAATATAATACACATAATACTAATACACAGCCTTTCAGTGTTTATCTTGTTACTGTTGTTAAAAAAGATGCTGTATATAGGTGTGGGGTGTTATAGCAGTAAAACCTCTGCAAGAACATTTTAATGTATTTATGCCTTAGACGTCTTGGTAGCGTTTGATTTCAAAAAATCATGAGCAAATATCAATAACTCATAAATTTTATAATGTCTTGTGACATTTTATTGCAAAAATGTCTGTCTGTTGGCAAATATTTCATAAAGTACTGGACAAATTTTTATGAAACTTGCAGAAAGTCAAACGGATAAATTTACAGGTGAATACATTTGAATTCAAGATGGCCACTACAGCCAGATGACATTAAAAATCAAGATGGCTATAATTAAATACAGTTTACATTCAACTTTTTTATTTATGCAGGTTAGTCTCATTGGGTCGCGAGGACTCGTTTACAAGAGAGACCTGTTCTTAAACGAAGACCACAGATGAGGTACAGACAAGAGACGATCATAAAAAAGCAAATTTAAAAAAAAAAAAGTAAATGAAAGAAATGAAATAAACTAAACAAAAACAGCTACATTATAAAGTGATTGTAAAATACTACATAATACTATTTTACAGCTACTGATCTAAGATTTGGTGTGGTACTAGCTGAGAGTGATCCCCCACAGTTGTCGTTGCAGTCATTTATGATATTGTGAAGTCTTGGAGAGGCTGGGTGAGCCGCTGAGGCTGCTGGGTAATCTTAATACGTATGGACCTTTTCAAGTTCCGTGTTCAGATTGGTTTCTTTATTAACCGTCTCGTTCAGTTTAAGTTTAATTTACATGTTTTGGTCTTTATGATCTGTAAAATTGGCACCATGACTGGCTGTGTTAGTTATTTCTGTGTTAGCTGTAGCAGCCATCTTAAACAGGACTGACTCTGAAAGTTAATCAGTTGTAAATGCATGCATCTAAAAAATACTAAATTTGCCCTCTGGTTCGTGAGATGTTTCGGTACAGACGCTCTCGGCTCAGCCAGCATTGGTCTGCTCCGTTATCCTCGGATACATTTGTTCCTGTGCAGTGGAAAGTGTCTGTCTTCATGCTCTTTGAACAGGGACGGTGTCATGGAGAGCACTTTTCATTATGGCGCTCTGGAGCTGCAGCCAGATCTGACATGCTACAGCTGGACAACGCCTCCCTCCTGGTTTGTCCATCAAGCTAATTGAAGACTGCCGGGAGACAATCGCGTGATGAGAAACACGCCTCCGAACGAGGGGCGAAATCGGCAGAAAGGCTCATTTCTCTGAGCAGAATGTTTAAAATGTCGCTTTGTTTTTTCATCCTCTTTAGAGCTGTCAGACTCTCCGTCTGCCGTTGAGCTTCCTCATCAGCACCAGGGAGGAGCGTTTGGCTCCTGGTGAGCCATCATCAACCGAGCAGCTCCATCCCTCTGCTATAGACCTCCTGCTGCCCTGCATCGTCGACTAGCTTTGCTCCGGTTGCCTGGAGCTGGGTCAGTGACCTGTGAGGGTCACGGCATACAGCAGCTCACAAATGTACTGGCACCCAGTCCTTTCTGTGGGACCCCCACAGAGAGCCAAAAACCTGGAGGCAAATCTCCCTCATTACATCATGTGAGAGGGAACAGGAAAAACTGAGCTGGAGCAGGTGGACAGTGTGGCGTGTGCTAAACTTGGTAGTGCCCATCTTGAATTAAAAGTGTCATGAAATGCAGCGGGGGATATGCATTCATCAAGAAATTCTAGGCCTTTAAAAGAGTCCGATTTAATCAGTAATCTCCTTCTAACCCCCTGACAGATGAAAGGAAATCTGTGGCTAATTTAATCTGACGAATATCAATCCGGTTGCCTCTACCGAAATCGGGGGGGGGGGGGGGGGGAGCATGTTCTGATGCAAGGTTGCAAACAATTTACCAGCAAGAGGTTATTTTAGTGCAGAGGGTTGTTTGTTCCAACAACAAAGAAAGAGGTCTGGAAAATGTCCACTCCATCCACAAAGAGTCAAATAAAAAACATCCTTCCTGTGTGTTTACTTTTAATTTTCATCAAACCAGCTATTAAATTTGAAATGTACGGCTCTCTGATGCAAGAAGAGGCAACTTATTTTAATTTTATACATTGTTTTTGTTTTAAACGATTATCAAGAACCTTGAAGAACTTTTTAAAATTGATCTTATTTATAAAGACTCCACAGCCGTTACAAATGAAGCTCAGATCTTTTTAAGTAGTGGTTCTGTGAATTGGTATAATTAATATTTTTCCTCTTTAAATCAGTTTAGTAAATTGGGTTTCAGTTGGACCAGATTGACGAGATCATTTAGAATTTATAGTTCTGCATATTTTATGCAAATGCATATTTTGCACATTTCATTGTCATTTTTGTAGATTTCTAACTACCGTATTTTCCATCGTACACGTCACTCCGGGGTATGAGTCGCATCAGTTCAAAAATGTCTAAAAAAAGGTGGGGAAAAAATAGGAATAAGTCCCTTTGCCATATAGGTTGCATTTATTATATCACCGGATTTTACTGGGAAACGTGGGCCGGTGTTGCAGCAGGGAAGAACAACATATAAAAGTCTGTCCTATTGGCTGCAACTGGTAATGTTTACTGGTTCATGTCTATAAATGAACACTTTAAGCGTCAGTCAAAAATTGCGTTACGAATATGGAAAAAAAAACGTATATTAGTCGTTTCGGCGTATAAGTTGCAGGACTTGCAAATGTATGCAAAAAGATGCGACTTAGAGATGCGCCAATCCGAAACCAATATCGATATCAGTCCCGATATTGGAATCTGTGACAATGTGACCGATCCATGACTGGGCAGATCTATTCACTCTAATTCTATGCTTTGTGCTCTGAGTGACGTCGCACGCTAGCGAACTCACCGCACAGATTGTTTTCAAAATGGAGCGAGCGAAAGGATCAGCCATCTGGAACTATTTCACACGACCTCAGCCAACGCATTGGACAGCTACGTGCAATACGTGCACAAGGGCGGTTCCAGGGGTTGTCACCAAAACTTCCACTTATACAACTACCAACTTAATCAAGCATCTCCAGAGATTTCACCATGAAGAGCATGCTGAGTTTGTTAAACGGAATTCAGCACGTTTTTTTTTTTTTTCTTTCCTGTATCAGATCGGTATCGGCCGATGCTAAACCTCGGGTATCTGGATCGGTGCATCCCTAATGCGACTTATACGCTGGAAAATACGGTACTGGCAATTGTGTGAAATACTTTGCTTTTGTGTGCCAAGATAAAATCCTTTTTGTTTAAACGTGCCATTAAACTTGATTCTGATTTTCAAGTACATTTCATGCAGGGCGTTCTGACTCACTTCGAAAAAATAGAAGATATATCGAAGAAATCCTGGCAACCCTGACTCCTGGCAAGGACTAATGCAGACATGTTCCTGTTTTTAGTTTTCTACATTCGCCTTATAATCTAGCTGTTTTTGTTACTTTTTTTGCCATCCTATTTGTTTAAAAAATAAAATCTGTATGCGTTTTTTTATATTTGTCTATTGTTGTCGCTGTTGTCCATTGTTGTCATCATTCTTTGTTGAAATCAGGTCTCTCTTGTAAATGAGTCCTCGAAGCTCAATGGGATTTATCTGTCTAAATAAAGGTATTAAAAAAAAATTGTCAAAATAAATGTTATGTGAAATGAAAATTAAACTTGTTTTTAAAACTGTAATCCACTTATATCTTATATCTGCTTAGAGCTCCTTAATCTGGTCCAAACTAGTCATTCAAGGAGCAATCTACAGGAGGGAAGATATTGATAACTTTTTTCTCACAACTCTATTTCAAATGACCTGAACTCTTTAAAGTAGACTCCATAATATGTATAAGGCTTAATATATAAACCCTAGAGTAGATTGTTTTCTCATATACACAACATTTTGAATAAAGCATCAATTTAAATGTCTGAGGGGAAAATTGTAAAATGTCCATATTTACTCAAAATATGAAGAAATGTAGTTTCGACTGATTTGTATAATGGTGCGAAAAGCTTGAAGAATCAATCACTTTAGAGAAACTGCAGATTTTAATTGTATTCTCTGTGTTTCTTTATACAAGCCATTATGAGTCAATGAGCATTAAACAGACTGCAAGAACAGGGGCTCAGTATGAGTGACAAGTCTGCCCATTTCATGACAAGGTTACCGACTTTAACTCATTATTTCTGTTTACTCTGACAAAGGCAGGAGCTGAAATACCGAGCACTATTTCACCATCACTCCTACTTTAATCAAGTTCTGTAATATGGCTGGAGTTATTAAATATACTCGGCAGCTGTACAGGATGAAATATAACAGTAGCAGATATATAGCTCTTGAATGATTAATTACCAAACTTGAACTGTTGAAGACATCAAGGCCGTCAATAATGTATTTACCGAAAGTTATAATAGACTTCTGTACTTTTTAAGAAACCATTTTGCCTCAATATTTAGCAGCAATGAAATATCCAAAAGCACTTCAAAAGTAAGTTGAGAAGTTTTTTGAAAATAAAACGGAATGCAGTGATTTTCAACTATAATTTAAACCATATTTAATTAACAAAACAAGGACAACGTATCAAACTTGTAGGCTGCACAGATTTCTCAAAATCATATTAGTCCTTTGGGTTTTACTTGTGAAAAATTTAAACGTTAAGTCTTTTTTTGACCCATTTTGAACTTATTAAATATATAAGTGTATTATATATGTTATATTTGTACTGTTTATATACATTTAATACTGTGTATAAAATATTTTTTGTCATCTAGACAAGGAAATGCCTGATGCCTTCTGTTAGAATAAATAGTAGGAAAACGTATAACATTACATTATCATTTTTAAGTTTTCCTTTCTTGAAATATGTAATATAGTCTTGAATAAGACATTATATCAAAACAGCTGTGCAGACATGAGTTAAAATAATATGTCGCATGGGACCAACAACAAATCCATTAAAACTATAAACTTTTTAAAACTAAAACAGCATTAGACAATGTATTTAATAATTCATCACCGCATGCATCATAAGTAGTAACAGCTCTGATCAATCTTTCTGTACTTGTACTGCTTGTACTTGTACTTCTGTACTAGGATGTAGACTTTTATAAAGACAGGTTACTTTTTGTTTTACCTTATTTGGATGTAGAAAAGCTTTTTAAATTATTTTAGCATGAATTGAATTCACACAAAACGTCCATGAGTAATTATTTTAAACTTTTATAGAATTGTCTTTTTATATCCCTTGAGTTATTATTATATTAAATATTATAAATGTCCAAAGGCGTTTAAAGGCTCTGGGTTTTATTCACTAGAACAGCCAGCCTGGTAGCGCGCACTTTCGACCATTAGGTTAAAATAGAGATTAAACCTAAATTTTCCAAGTAAATAAATATTATATATGAACAACTCATTGAGAAGATTCAAGTGAATTTTGTTAAAATTTAGAGAAATCTCTTTTCTACACGTTAACTGTCAAGCTCCGCGTAAGATGTCACACATCGGCGCATACGGGTAACTAAATCATTCGCATGTAAGTTTACGTCAAGTACGTGACGTCAGCGCGCTGCAATTCAAACTTCAGGAAACGAAAGTGTTGGCTAAACAACGGTCTCGTCCTAAGCAGCCTGGTTTGAGGGGTGATTTTCAGCCCTCTTCTTATGTAAGTGTAGTTTTTGTTTGTATATGTATTGATTGCTCACTTATCTGGGTCAGTACTTTTTGTTTTACACCGCTGTGTTTGGGTAACTCGACGACGTTTTTGTGTCAATTTATGTTCGCAAATAAAATCTTGACAGGTGCGAGTCTTCGAGTATTCTGTACATTAGCTGCAATATATAGCAACTAATGTCAAAGTTTATCATTTTAAACGTACTCGTATAAAATAAACTGACTCTTAAAGGAGAACAACACAAAAGTGTGTATGTTGGTACACAAGTAGTAGTTTATACAAGTAAACAAAACTATGTTATGTTCATGTCCTGGGCGTGTTTTTCTTTAGCTGGTTTGACCTGGATTTTAGCAAAATAGCTTTATTTTATTTATTTTCTTAAACAAATCGTATCCTATT